ACATTAATGTTCTCAGACTGACTAATCACCGTCAAAGAAAAAGTCCCGCTTCGGCTCGGAATGCTCGCGACTCTAAGAAACCTCTCCGAGCAGAATGAGTTAATTCCGCCTGTAAACTTTGCGAGACATCCCTTTAATCTCGTATACTGTAAAAAAAGTTACGGGCTGTATTAGATATACCGTCCTTTCCGGGCTCAGAGACCAAAAATTCCGGGGGCTGGAGCCGTAGCTTCGACTGCTCCGAGTGATACGCCCGGAATTTTCGGTCTCTGAGCCTCCCGGAACGCGGATGGTATGTCTATATAGGCCATAAGTACAGCTTCTATGGCCAGAGTTTTTATTTCAGTGTAGCCCGGTCAGGGTTCCTATTCGCCGAAACGTCACCGAAAAAAGGATGATAATTTCAAGTAAGTTCCTCGCTGATTTTTGTGCCTGCTAGACGTGTTTTTGCACCAACTAAGGCAAATTTTCACGACTGGATTCGGTTAATTTTTTGATTTGGTGACTATTGCGTTACCGTTGGAATTAGGACCAATCAGAATTGAGTATCCTAAGGAAAACGAACCAAATTCCGAAATAGGTTCAAAATGGCCCGCCAATTGGCCAATGCAACACGATTTAATATACGGTATAAAATATCATACACATTATAATAAAATTACACGAACATATGGGCTCTCTTTACACTTTACGTCGTCACCATCACATCACCGCGGTTGTTGTTTTTGTAGCACAGAACAACGCCCTTTTGGAAAAATTGTATGCTTTTCGAAGTTTATGGTAAAACCGTTGACTCCCATCCACTTTTCGACCTACCTCCTGAGGTGGGTCGAAATTAGAGATACCCCCGTTATCAACTTCAGCCATACTTTAAATTCCATTTAAGATAAAAATAACGTTGCTTATTTAAATATTTGTATTTAAATACCGATTTTAATAATATTCCTTGAATATGCGTACAATACCTTTTAAGGAAATACTACACCTGAGGAGGTAGGTTATATTGTGAAAATATTGACTAAATAATGTGCCGTGACTCAATTCTTGAAATACCAAAAACAGGGAGAGGATGGTGTATTGTGTTAAGGAGGGGAGAAATCTGAGTCGATTTGCTTGTATTTTTTTTTGTTCGAAGAAAACTCACGAAGATGACGGGGTTGAGCTTGGCGTGCTAGGGAAAAACGCCGTATGAATATTCGAGAGTTGCCAGATTTCTCCGGATAAAACTTATATTTCCGAGGAAAGTTATGCTTATTTTCTCTTGAAATTTTAACATACTATATTATAACATATTATAGATTAAATTGCTGACAAAATCGTCTGATAATATTGAAGAACAATTTTAACAACTTACTCAGTAAATTCGTTTTTTTTTCAAGTAATTATGGCAACATCTAAAGGCTTATACGGCGTTCTTCCTCGGCACGGCAGCGAGCCTCTTGAAACCGCGTCGGAAAAACAAGATCACCGAAACTTCGTTTCACACAAGACGGAGCGTGCCGTATTCCGTCGCCTCTCTGACGTATAGGGGCGTATATCCGTTTCCAAGTGAGATCCGAAAAGCGTGGAGTTATACGGAGCACAGGGCTCACGTAGAAATCGAGATACGCCCTTATGTCAGAGGAGCGACGATTTTTAAGACGGCACTCGACGTCACGCGTCGCCCCGCACGCGAAGAAAAGGGAGAAATCTGAGCCTCGCTCCCGGCGAAGGGGACAGGATGTGGTTGTCACACGTCAGCGGAAACAAATTTGACTGTTTATTTTGATCGAGGGAGCCTCTCAGGTTTTTCCCTCCTTCGGCGTCGATTCTTCGCGGCGACCGCCATTAGAGGACCTATAACAGGAGACTATTACCATATCTGTGCCGCTCTCTGATTGGTTTATCAGTTTTAGGTTTATTGAGGGCTCGTGAGGATCAATGTGAACGAACCCAATCAAGAGGCGTAGTGCCCCTACTCTTTCTGCAAAGGTACTTTAGCCCTTAGAAATCAGACATTAAGGAGTGAGTAACACAACTGCGATAATTTTCTCCCCAGCACTCACAGTGATCCTACTGCGCTTAAGAAGAATACCGTATGAGCCTTCAGGCGTTGCCAAATTTCTTTTGAGAAATCATGAATTTGTGGGGGAATTTGTACATTTCTTTCTTCCGATTTTTCAGAGCATTTTGTTCGTAAGTTGATCTGAAGTGTCTGAAAATTTTAAGGAAGAATATACCTGACTTCCTTCCAAAATCAATAGATTCTTGGATGAAATTTGGCACCTTTAAATGTTCATGCGGCGATTTTACTTAGCACGGCAGAATATAGGCTTAGTGGAATAAGTGAACAATTTTTTGTTGTAAAAGATGTGGTAGATCTTCATAGTCAAAAATGTCATACAAAAGGGCCTAAACATTCCCGAGAATAATAAAAAATGAGCCCGATGCTTCCACGTTCAAACGTCCGTACACCTTATTCTTCAGGTATACTTACTTCTGTCATTCCTTTCCAGTTAGCCGGAAACAAGGGTCATTTTATTTTAAAGAATAGGCATCATAAAATAGACATTAATAAACAGGAGAATTCAATGAGACCGTTTAATGCAATTCCAACTTAATCGAATTGTTTAACTCGATATTACAAAAACAAATTTACATGTTATCACCAAGGTAATTGGATTAACATGGAAATGTGATTGAGCCCCGATCCTCCGCGAGCTCTCCCTTCCTGACCCAAATTTAATTAAATGATGAAGGTGTCCGAGTTTCACGTATAATCCACCCCTTTGACCGAATTCATCACCGAAACCGTTCATTTAAGGTGGTTCGATAGAAAATAAAAATAACGGCACCATCAAAAAACACAAAATTCCGACGAAATGAAGTACCTCATAACACGTGACAAATCCTATCAATCATAATCACCCCTGAAAATGTTTTAATTAGCGTTAGGAACCGTTTGAGTATTACGTAAGGGATTTTGAACGACTTTTAAACCCCCTCTCCCCCCATTTAAGGGCAGTCGTAAGCTCACCTCCCTTCCTTTGGAATTACATAAGATTGGCCTGACACCCCTTCCTCCCCCATTTTTCAGAAAATAATGTAGGAAGTCGGGTATCGCCAAAAAATTGTTCTGTTTATTGAAACATGTTCTTTTTTTTTAAAAAAATGAAAACCTTACGTAGGACTGGGCTTTGCCCCCATCTCCCCCATCTCTTAATACCAGAAAAGGTAAGCCCACACCCCCTCCCCATCTCTAAACGCCATAAGTAATATACTTAATTTACTGTGTTCATGTTTTATTTCATCTTTAAAATTTTGATCGTGAATTGCAACTTTACCCTTCTATTCTTATACAGGGTGGGCCAGAAGTTCCAGGACGGTCGGCTAACTTTTTAACGGTTCGAGATAGAAAAATGAAACTTTGGGAATGTTCCTATCTCAAGGGGGACCATCTTTTGGGGGAGTCAAAATTTTGGTCCCCCTAAGGGAGGGGGCGGGGGGCCCCCAACTTTTTTTTTTCAAATAGCAACCCCTATCTTGTGATACCTCATTCGAAAAACCATAAAAAACTAAGAATTTTGGCGCAAACCGCAGATTAATATCTTAATTTTTGACCGAGTTATGATAGGATCAAAGGTCAAATTTGACCTATTTTCAAAAAATCACAACTCCGGTTCAAATTATCGTAAAGAAAAAAATAAACGAGAAAATTTACTAAATTGTGTTCGCTTTTTTGGAAAAATTGCAGAAATCACTTCGAACTAATTTTAAGGGGGGTATCGGACCCCCAAATACGTCAATTCAAAGGTCATTCAATTTTCCCGCGAAATAAGCCAATTCCCCTAGATTTGCCTCCACATTATCTCGGTAAGGTAAAAATCAGTTCAGCATTACGTTGGGCAAGTCCCCAAATTTCAGGAAAAGTTAAAAAAAAACCCAATTTAAACGGTCAAATTTAATTACCTTAAATTGCGTTTTTTTAACTTTTCCTGAAATTTGTGGACTTGCCCAACGTAATGTGGAACTGATCTTGACCTTCCTGAGATAATGTGGAGGCAAATCTAGGGGAAATTGGCTTATTTCGCGGGAAAATTGAATGACCTTTGAATTGACGTATTTTGGGGGTCCGAACCCCCCCTTAAAATTAGTTCGAAGTGATTTCTGCAATTTTTCCAAAAAAGCGAACACAATTTAGTAAATTTTCTCGTTTATTTTTTTCTTTACGATAATTTGAACCGGAGTTGTGATTTTTTGAAAATAGGTCAAATTTGACCTTTGATCCTATCATAACTCGGTCAAAAATTAAGATATTGATCTGCGGTTTGCGCTAAAATTCTTAGTTTTTTATGGTCTTTCGAATGAGGTATCACAAGATAGGGGTTGCTTTTTGAAAAAAAAAAGTTGGGGGCCCCCCGCCCCCTCCCTTAGGGGGGACCAAAATTTTGACTCCCCCAAAAGATGGTCCCCTTTGAGATAGGAACATTCCCAAAGTTTCATTTTTCTATCTCGAACCGTTAAAAAGTTAGCCGACCGTCCTGGAACTTCTGGCCCACCCTGTAGTATTATTATTATATCTTACGTGTATGAAAAATTAGGAGGTATGATCATCCTTTGACACTTCAAGTGTATTACTATTAACCCTTTGGAGGTAGCTATTCCTCTGCAACTCGATGTTGAAATTGAAACCCCCAAACCACATATCTCCGTTTGCAACGTTGTAGACTATCCTGTCATACTTCATTTTTTAAGTGAAGATCTGCTTCATGTCAATTCCTGGAAACTTCTGCGATTTTTCTCCTCAATGCGATGCACATTCTGAGAAAACTTCAAAAAATGATGTTCATTTGTTGCCATTTAAAAAGATAAAACAGGAACGGAGATTTTTAGACACCGCAAACGAGAAACATGTTTTGGGAGTTTCACCGTCGATATGAGTAACATTTTTTATTTCTTCCTTTCATGTGGGAAACAAGAGGAACATATTTTTGTAAATCAAAAATAAAATTGGTCTTTACCTGAAAATATGGAAGCCAAGGCTGCTATAAAAAACGAAACTATTACACCTGGACCGGCGTAATTTCTTGCGACCATTCCAGAAACTAAATACATTCCTGTGCCAACACAACTGCCGACACCGAGTGAAGTTAAATCTAACGTTGTTAGACATTTCTGAAACACAGAACGATAAAATTTATTAGAAAACATAATCAATGTAACATTCGCAACAGTCCACGGAAAAAGAAAACATTACACGAATGCACTTTGTCAGAAGAGCAATTTTCGTGACGTTGAGTCAGAGAATTGACATTATGGAATTTCGACGGAGAGGACTAGTTTCCCTTGTTGTTGTACCCGTGAAGGGCATGCAGTTGCATTACACAGTAAATTGGATGTTAAATTAACATTCAAAATGTTGAAAATCCACCCGACAGTGCTGTGCGTTGATGAGAATGCTTCGGCTGTTAATGCATCAATCCCCGCTAAAATTAACAGTCAGAGCGCTTCTACAAATATTTCAGAGTTGTCAATCATATTTTTCAATAGTTAGGATGTTAATTTAATATCCTCCTTCCTTCAGGTACAATCCGAAAATTTCCAGCGTCGAACATAGTAATTTCAAATTTTAAAAGACAAAGGGTAACATAGCAGAGTAGCAAAATAGCAAGTAAAGTTTGCAAGAACTAACTACAAAATTGAGAGCAAAATATTCACACTAAGTTTCTCTTTCCGCGAGTTTTGATGAAAGAAAAAGAATATTAGATTGCAAAAAAATAGAGGTACACTGGCTTCCATGAATCATAGCATCAAGACGTTGCTTCTTCGTAAAAAGGAGATGTGAAAGGATAAAACATTCTAGACAAGGAAATTTTCCTGGAATCGAAGGAAATGTGTAAAAATTCCGCGGAAACAAATAGCATAAGAGCTACTCTTTGTTGGAACGACGAGCCATCCATTTATCGCCGTGAACATTTCCAATGTAAATGGCGAGCGATCAGTGAAAGCTCTAGGAGCTCAAAATGCGTCGTTCGGCTCGCCAACTGCGAGTGCGACTCGAAATGAGCTTCTTGATCGGACCTTAGTAGTCAAAGGTCCCTTCCTTTTTCGATAAATTGTTTCTAATGACTCTTGTCGAAAATGAGGACACTCTAACTGAATACTAATTCTCTCGTTAGGGGAGGGGCGGAGGGGGGCAGACTGGAAGTGAGGGGGAGAGATCATTGTCACCCAAGTTCACCATTTCGTACCTAATATCCATAGCTTCATCAGCGCGACAAGTGTAATCTATCGTATCTCGCTTTGAGCCGTTAATGATTTGAGCTGCTTGTCACTTCTCTATCGTTTTCATCGATCGCGCGGTTCCGACCAATTTCCGTTCTATGAGCCACCTCATCTAGACTCTCTTCCCCTCTCCATGTCCACTCCGATGCCACTAAACAGACCGTTATTTTTTAATCGAAAGTCTTTAGTTATCCTTTCAATGTTCGTAAGTTCACATTATGACCACGGGATCCTGGAATATCAATAAGTTTTTCTCCAAGTATGTATCTACTTCCCTCTATTTTTCCCTCTTATTCTATCTCCCCTCTCCCTCCTTCTCTGCCAAAAATATGGGAAATCTTCTGGTGGAGCTGCACAGTACTTTTGAGATTACCAAATCTTCCCTCAAGACCCACCTCTTAAATCTTGGGTGGCAGGCTCAAATTGAATCGGTTTCTGTCAGAGTCTGACAGAAGTCAGACGGGTGTAAGTCCAAGAGCTCATGAGCCCTACCGTCTTGCGTGATCAACGAGAGCCAAGGCTCACGACTATTTTTACTCACGCCGGTCTAATAAAAAGCGATTCAATTTATGTTCAAGATTTTTTAAAGACGAAAATAACGAGGCAATCAAAAGTTGTTCACTGTTTTTGTCATGAGATGTCAGCCATCTCGTCGAGAATTTTTCCTCCGATTTAATCAAGCCAAGTTGCCATTCATGAAAATAATTCCAACCCAGATTTTGAGCCTAACCGTGGCTACAAATCCACATTGAACGTGACAAGGTATTAGATACAATCTTGTGACTTGGGTTTGATACTGAGCCACCCTTGAATCCTAGATTCCAAATCTCGCCTCAACGAAGCTATTAAATTAAATGAAAAACTGTGTCACTGACTCTTAGGGGTAGTTTTTCCTTCGTGGGAGCCAGTCGCTAGTCATATGATATCAAAATTAACTTTCCCGGAAGAGAACAATAAGCTCAAGACGAGCTGTTAAAAATATATCCCTCGGGACCAGAAACGTACGCCATGGTTTCGCAGAATGGGGGTGTCCCCATTTGCAAGCGCGGCAAAGCGTTTCAATTCTGTGCAATCCAGCTAGAACCGGACCGCAATTTTCTACACGTGCGATGCCTCGACCCAAATAAATTTTGAACATGTTGCAAGATTTTCGCAGAATCCGATGTTTTCTGGATTCGAGGGATTAAAAATTTTACCGAAGGTGGCATTCTCCCTCCGGCTCTATCACGTAAAAGCGCCCTTATTAGCGCGGGCGAAATCTAAGAAACGTAAATACGGAGGATTCAACTCTTATGACTGCATTTACAACCGTAGTATTGTGAACTCGGCGGAAGGGATGTTAAGGCGGGGGCGGGCGGAGCGGAGAACACTGTGTGGAGGGATTAGCCCGTTGCGATGTCGATTGGGGCTTTGAAGGGATTAAGAACATTCTGGAGCGGCGCATAATAAGCTCAATTTAATTACTTATTCAGCATTAAGCACTCAAGTTGAGTATGCATTCGGAACAAAGCAAAAACATGAAAGCCGTGAAGTGGCAAGAATGCCTAGAATTTGGAAAAATTATTAGCTGTGACGATACGCTCCGGAGCCGAGTTCAGAGGGGATGTATTTTGGAAGACGCCGACTTATGGCTTCAGGCATATCGTCGGTGTAAGTCTGCAATCGCGTACCTCGTTTGTGATGTTTGAAAGTCTCCGCTCGCATTTAAAGGGGCACAAAATCGACATCACTCCTTGAAGTTTTCGCAGAATTTGCTTCGCACAGAGAGGAAAAATCACGGCAGTTTTTAAGAACTGTGCAGTTGAATAGTTATCAATTTATAAAATCGTATATGACAGGAAGTCTGAAATGTCGCCAATTGAGATACGTGGTTGCAAAGCCACACCGTCGGTATCAGGGCCGGATTTACCTACTTGCCGCCCATGGGCCGCCTGTATTTTGCCGCCCCTTCTCATTCGTTTTGAAACATCGATACAAACGATAGAGTGAATATGCCGGAAGAGGAGGGGTGCATAAGACGCGTTTACTCGTGTTGGGCACATTATTTGTGAAAGCCCTGTCAACACTAGCCAAAGTTCATGGAACTTAGCGCAAAAATTAAGTTCCGTAAACCTATCTCTGTGTGGGCGAGGCCTTTCATTTATAAGGAAAGAACGAAAAAATTATGAAAGAATAAACATGAATGTGGTTTAATTTCCGCCATCGCGCCAACCGCACTGTTTGGCGCAATGTGTGAAGTATCTCTACAGTCTTGTAGGCGCTATGCGTTTTACGCCGACCGCTGCTGAACGCACTGTTTTTGACGCAATGCGTGAAGTATTCATGCAGTCTTGTAGGCCTTATGAGTCGCCGGGTGCATAAAGGAAAACAGAGAAGAACTTTTGCAACATCCAAAGCGAATTCTTTAATACAACTGGAACGTTTTGGAAACTTTCAACGAGCTTGCAGATCAGTTGCTGTGTTTCGCCAACGGAGAGAGCTCTAGCCTGAAAAAGGCAACATACTGCTTAGTTTGAATCAGCAGTGCATTGAGTTGAGAGCGTCTGGCGAAACTGAGACCATGAATAATGTTCTTAGTGCGATATGCGTTGGTTCTCAACTGGCTTTTCTCAAGATATTAACAAACTTTGTTCATTTTCCTCCCTCCGCAAAATTAAGATGGACGAGAAGCAAAACACTTATCGCGCTCCGCTCATTTTGCTTTTCTTTCGACTTTCTATCGACTTTTGAACGAGTAATGATAATAAGTGCAACCTGCTTTCTCTCGAGAGAAATTTTAGAACAATGAAAAGGGTTCCCAGCGACTGCATGGAGCATGCAGCTGAATCCTGGCCTTATTTTTGAGACTATTTCAGAGTTTCTTCGCATTTTGAAGGAGGCCGGAAGAATCCCCTTTGAGTGTAGGTGTGCAGTTTTGGTAGAAAAACTATTATTTTGCACAAATCATTCGCAATTTTTATAATCCGCGGTTGATTGAAAAGATTTCCTGGCGTGCTTTGAGGTGATTCGAAGTGGTCGAACAGGCATGCGATATATCGCATCGATTAGGTAAAAAATCTCGGGAATCGAATGCGAGGTTTCTTTCCTAACACTATCCTGCTTTCATCTCTCTGAATTTTGCCGATTTTTGGGTTTAGAATGATTCTTTAGGCTTATGCGCAGGGGCTGTCGTCCTTTTCTTTTTGCTAAAACGTCAAAATCCGCCGAGATTTTCGACCTAACCGATGCAATATATCGCATGCCAGTTCGACCACTGCTTTTGAGCTTGACAAATGACCTTAAAAAAAAAACCAAAAAATATCGAAAAAATTAGACATACGATCGGTGTCTTCCTGAGAACAGTTTGATTTCGTGCTAACTTGATTCACAAGGGCAAAATTTATCTCTTTCAACTGTTATTGCTCATTTGAAATATGTTGAATTGTGTGTTTTGTATGTGTTTCCTTAGAACTATGAATGACCACCTGATTTTTCATGCCATGTTTCTTCATTTCGAATTCGCTACGATTCTCCGCATTATTTTCAGTAATTTTCCGGCTACGACCACAGTAATTTTAGTAAACAGAAGAACGCATAAACAATTTGAAATTCTAACCGAGGAAAAGGACGATCAGAGGTTTCTTAAATGGGAAAAAATAATAAAAAACAAGCAGTGAACTCCAACAATGTGTTGATAAGGCGCGTCATTAACTCGCACATATCAACCCCTTTNGGGGGGGGGGGGGGGGGGGGGGGGGGGGGGGGGGGGGGGGGGGGGGGGGGGGGGGGGGGGGGGGGGGGGGGGGGTCGAAACGATCGCAAAGGCGGTATACTACGTATACGCGCCAAAACCCGTAAACTCTTATGGGGGCCTTTCATAAAAAAACGTAAGACTCCTGAGGGAGGGGGGA